GATGAGTGCACTGTTGGTTTATTTTCACTGTGTTCTTGCAAAACACTAATATTCCACTTACCTTAATGAGAAGTTTTGGGATCTTCATGTTCCATCCACGTGTCAACTCCAGGGTTGCAGTTAGAGAAAGGGGAGGTTTAAACCTCCCATGTAGGCCGCTGACAACTACATAGTAAAGAACAGAAAGCAGGGAAATAGGTTAATCTTAAAAGTTCCGTTGCTCATTAGGGCATTTTTCTTGTACTGTATTTGGATATGGTGGACTGCAGCTGCCCTCTGACTCACAATGTGATTTTCCTTAAATTGCATTTAAAAGCCTTTTTGGTGAGAAGCATCACCCATGTCAAGCTTTCCAACCCAGTCAAGGTGGAGGCACAGAAGCTACTCAGCAGCTAGCAAGTTAGCACAAGATGCCATCCTCTGAATGTAAATCTTACTTCTTAAAAATGAAAAAGGCAAAATCAGTCCTTGATTTCTATGCAGATTCTGGCCATGCAATGTTTTTTTTTAATCACATCTGATGCTGCGGTGTCTTGACTCATAGAAGTGGTATGAGAGGTCATCAACAGCAAACTCCATCTGCCTCTTTGAACCTTGTTTAGTTTTCTTTACCAGTTTACTGGAAAAGGTGTGTGCTTCCCCCAGGAAAGACACTGACATTAATAATGATCTGGGTTTGGATCAGAAAGGTTTGTATCTAATCCATTTTAAAGCACTGGTAAATTTTGGGACGGGGATCAGTTCCCAGCCTTTGAAGTTCCCTGAAGACGGGACTTTGGCATAGATTTTTTGCAGCACTTAGTCTGAAACAAGCTTGTTAGAATTACCTTGTATACCTTGTGTTTTTAACAGCAACTTGGTAGCAGCTTATGAAAAAGCAAAGAAAAAGCATCAAAATAAGCTGAAGAAACTGGAATCACAAATGATGGCCATGGTGGAGAGACATGAAACCCAAGTAAGAATGCTCAAACAAAGAATAGCTTTACTGGAAGAAGAGAACTCCAGACCACACACCAATGAAACTTCACTTTAAGTGCATCTCTTTAAAGGATGCTTAGTGCCATTACAACTTTCTTTCTTTTGGAGGTTGACTTTTAGGTAGCTTCAAATGTTAAAAGCTCTGATTGTCAATGCTGACAAACTTAAAAGCTCCTTCTCTGGGATCCCAGAGAGGTATCATGGGGATAATAAAAGTGTTAACCTTAAGGACTGTTTCATAATGTAAAATGGCAGTGCCTGAATTATCATGCTAATTGTGTACATTGTCTGTGTTGTTATCTCTGTATTCATACAGCTTCTCTTCCATTTTATCAATGGCCCATGCGTGACAGTGTCACACAGCAGAATAATTCATGTTAAGAGGTTTTCATTTGGGTAGTTTGGGGATCATGGGGAAGTTTTCCCAGTCCCTGAGCTCTCTCTGACACAAGTCCATACTGTACCCTCATGACTCGCTGCTGTGGATTCACCACCAACAGGCAGCTGCAGAGTGGGTGTGACAACCTGGCTGGCTTTTTCTTTGTGCCCTGCTTGCAGTTCTGCTGTTCACAGTGCAGGTCCGGTAGGAAGACTGGGAAAAAAAACAAGAAAGTATTGTTGCATCTCTGAGAATTATAATAAGAGTGTAATTCTTACAGTGCATAAGAGGGCCAAAGGCTGTGGGTTTCACCGTGCCACACAGACAGTCTGTGCCAAGGGTGGGTAAGAAATTACAGAAGACCTCCTGGTATTTATATTGCATGGTGTTTGCAACTACTTTGTAGAAAAAAATTGTTTTTTCTTGTGATATACACTATATCCAAGGTTTTCTTTAAGAAGCTGGGCCATTTTTGTCACATGTGTTGTGCTTAATACAGCTTACTGTGATCAAGAGGTGGAATGTCGTCTTTTTATACATTTTTTTTGACCAAAAAAGGGTACTTAAGTAATGTACCTGTTTAATATTGAATTCATAGGCACAAAATTATAGATGTGTAGATGGATATCCAGCCACAAACAGAATGTGAATGGTGAAGTCTTACAGCTTTCTTAGGTTAGTTTCTGTTACTGCTAACAATCACTTGTTTAAATCACGTATTACTGTATTATCAAACTGACTGAAGTGCAAATTTTGTTTTGTTAGGTTAATGAATAGTAAGCAAATCATGGGGATCAGGTTGATTTCTGTAGGGGTCAAAATACAGGAGTCTGCCATAACACCTGTTATATTCAGAATTCACTTCTTTTTTTTTTTTTTCTTTTCTTTTTTTTGGCAGAGTACGTTAAAAAGCTTCACGTGTGTTTTAAAAAGCCAAGCTGTAGTCCCTTCACTGTGTTAGCCTGCTGCTGTGTTATGCCTCTGCTTTGCATTTTCCAGGCTGATTTTCAGTGAATCTGATTTCAGGAGATGTTTATTGGTTTTGCTTTACATGCTGAGTTGCACCTCAAGTTTTTTACTAGTATATTTAGAATCATGATAACTTTTCCATTTATTCCTCCCATTACTAGTACTAATGAAATATTTTAGAGGACTCTTTTTGCCTGCTGTTGGGTTAGGTCAGACAGCATAGTTGTGGGAATCTGTGTTCAGAATATGGCATTATTGTTAAGTCTTGGTTACATCTGGAAGTGTAGCTGTTGGTTTTCCATCTCTTACCACTGTAGCTGCTGTTGTCTTCTGTCCTGAAGAGTAGTAGAGTTGTTCCTATGTCCCTGGATACGAGTACATCATCCACAAAGCTGGCATCCCATGTGGTTGATTGCAACAGCAAATTAAAACAATGCTGATTTCAAAATTTTTAGGTAGTGATGTTCTGGTTTTGATCAACCCTATTTCTCAGAATAATTGCACTTCCTAATTTATAATATCACAAGAAATTACTGCAAATGAGTCTCTTGAGGGAGAAGGCACATTGATTTCTTCTGTCTCTGTGGTTTTGCTTAGCAGCTCTCTAAGGTGTTTCCCCTTTTGGCCCAATTTTCTCACACTCAGGAGCATTGGGGTTTGCCATCAGCAGCTGAGCACTCTCATTTTGAAGAATCACAAAGGAAAGAATTGACCATGTGCTGTGGCAAAAATGCAGTTACACTCTTGTCTTTCAGCATCTGAAAAACCCATGTGACTTGAGGTCACCTCAGAATGTCTGTGTGAAATACCTTTCACTGGAGAGGACAGAAACCATACTGCACTGAGCTGCCTCTTAGGCTCATTTTTTCTCCTATTTCGATTAATGGAATTACAGAATGCGTTGGGTTGGAAATGACACTAAAAAATCACCTTGTTACAATCCCTTTCTGGGGGCAGGGACATGCTCCACTGGACCATGTTGCTCCAAGCCCCATCCAACCTGGCCTTAAGACATTCCAGAGATGGGGCAGCTACAACTCCTCTGGGCAGCCTGGACCAGTGGAAGACGTTGCTTCTGCACCCTCAGCACAGAAGAGTTTCTTCAATAAAAAAATTCAGATACTCTTACAAAGAGGTTTTTTCCAGACCTGACAATATGCTGATTATTTCTCTACATTTAGCACAAATCTTCCGTGCCAACTGTGCTCTAGAAGTGCATTAGAATAAATTATAAATCATCAGTAAATGTAAACCACTCCCATTTTTTCCCCTGTAAGGGTTGTAGATGAAAAAGCAGCACTGGTACCATCCAGCATTGGCAGTAGCTGTAGCTTGCCAGACCAGCAGTTGATTTCTTTGCCTCAGCAAGCAGCTACTGCATCATTTGTTGGCATAGCAGAACGATCAACTGGGAAGTGGTCACAGGTTTAATGTTACTGTGAAAACTGTTCATTAGTGATAATCAGCTTCAGCTCCAGTGTACCCCATTAAAACAGCACCAACTCTCACAAAAATGCCATGAAAACCTCAAACTCCTTTTATGCAACTCTGAAGTACCAGCACACCAGAAATACCTGAGCGTGCAGGGCACCGTGAGTTACAGCAACTTAACTCTCTTAACGCTTGTTGCAGAAATAATAAATTTGCAAAGCAAGAAAAAGAGGTGATTCTTGTCAACCTAAGTCCATTCATGAATTAATGACTGGACTTTTTTTGAAACTTTGTATTTCACAGTGCTCAGAAAAAATTCATTTTTTTTCTATGATGTACAAGTCTTCACCAACTTGAATGTACTGTTAGCTTTTGCAAAACACATGTGACTAAGTTTGCATTCATGTCGTGCTTTACTAGTTTAATTAGTTTTCTCCTCCTGCATACTGCACCATGCATTGTAACTTTAGAAACTTTTCACCTTGCTGAATTAGCTTTAAATGTGTTGCTACTTTTAGTTTCCAAGCTGTAAAATAGCTGTTTTGTGTTCATTTGATATAGAATTGTAAAAACTGCATTTATTTATACAGAGGCATTTATAGTACTTATATTACAAATGTTCTTATATTCTGAATAAATTTCTAATGCTGTTTCTTTGCCTTGGGAGTTGTTTCACCATGGCTTGTCACCTTACTGTTGAATGGGACTGCGTAAAGACACCTTGGCACAAAGATACCTCATCTCCATGCTGTGTTACTGAGGGAGATGGTTTGACATTATCAGCGAAGTTCACTTAACAGAGCCATGAAAAGTTGTTAAGAACTCAGATCTGGCCATAGGTTTTAGCTGTGCTCAAGAACCCCAGAACCCTCTACATCTTCAATGAACACGTTATAGAAAAGGAAGGGTGCATGTGAAACTGTTACCACGTGTCCAGTTCTTTTAATAACAAGTTATATGGACCAAACCATAAAGAAAACATAATACTCAGTATTACATAAATATTCTAAAAGCACTGATTGAAGTTCAGACACTTCCTTTCTCCAGTTTGTCTAACATGTATTATTTTTTTCCGTTGTGTTGAATGGCATCCACTTTTACAGCTGACTTAAAAGAATCCTTCCTCTCCTGGCCAGAGGAGATACAATCACTGCTGGCTTAAGGCAACACGTAAACATTCTACAGTGAAAGAATAACCTGTGCCAGCAGCAGAGGCATCGCATTCCACAATGACCAGCAATCCTTATTGTCATACTTCAGTATTCAATATGTTTATTTATAAAGTAATTTAATTTTACAGAGGAAAAAATAACAATATAGAAGAAAATGTTAACTTAGTCATAGTCTCCTATAATGGTGTGCTTCAGTTTTGAATCAATTTATAACAAACAAAATCACAATCATCAGTACAGCAGATGTTACAGGTAGTTACAGATTCTACTTAATACAACTGAAGAGCTGACTAATGCAAACTTCCTTCCAAAGACCATAACGGAAGTTGTATAAAATCTGTATGATTTTAACTCTTTAGCTGTACGAACCTTCTACTCGAGTGAGCACTGATGTGCCACTTACACAGGGGAAAACAGGTCGAGTTCTTGAGCTTTAACACACAGGAGGAAGACATAACCCTTCATGCCTGAGCCACACCACAAAGCACTGGCTCCTGTTTTCTGTGAGGCATGCAGTGCTGCCCTGAAGTGTCATCGGTTGGAAGCAATGCCCAAGTCTGGGTCCTGGAACATGAACACCAGTCAAGCATTCTGCCTGGATTAACAACCCCACACCTTCTTCTGGGGGGTCTGTTTTGCTTTTTAATGGTAAAAGTGCCTTGCAAACCCAGCTAAACTGCTCCTCAGGGGTTAGGTTAAACTTCCACATAGCGCAGTGCCATGCAGACACTCTAAAGTTCCGTTGCAAGTACTGGCGTGAGAAGTATTTGCTGAGAGCTCTTAATCATGTGGTTTTCCATACATTTCTGCATAACAAAATTATGTACCCAACCAGTAAGATACAAATTTCATCCCCATAGTTTAGTAATTTTGATCAAACATGCTTAAAAAAATTTGCAAAATTCTTCTCACCATTGGAAATGTGTCATAGAGAACTGTGTTTGCAGGATGTTTTCTTAAAAAGCTATGAATGCCTTATTTTAAAATGATTAATGCTCTATGAGCTATAATCATTTTCTTAAAGGCACTGAACCCATACTGGAAACTAGAAGCTAGTTCTTCTGATCAACAATATAAATGCTTAGAAATTACAAAATACTCTGTTTTCAGTAAAATCTCCATAGAGACCTTTCCAAATTTAAACATTCTGAAATGTTAACAATTACTTAAAAGGAAGCTTTTTATTTCCTGGAAGTATTGAAGGAGGACTTGAAGACAGATTTGACTTCCCAAAAGCAGCCAGAGCTGAGAACAATTTAAATATATTCTGTAAAGCTGAATCTGCACAAAACGTTAAGTCTTGCTGAACCTAACATTTTCAATGGAAAGACAAACCCCAAGTATTTTGTTTTATTGTACTACTACCAATCTGGAATAGTTCCTCTGGTACAATCTTGAATACGGCCAATGTCATTGTTTAATGTTGACTTCCTTTTAAGTTCACAAGCTACATGAAAAAGTGAAATGCACACACAGCACAAATACTACTGCATCTATCAGTGCTTACATATGGGATTAAGAACAGTGCAAATACTAGCATTTAGCCTACTTCCATTCTTGACTACACTATTGCTATAAATGCATATGAACAAAAACCTATAATGGAAGAGTTTCTAAGTCTAGTTTACTGTAAAAGCACCTTCAGTTAGTTTGTATAAATTTACCACATCTTAAATAATTTTGGTTGTTTCAAAAGCTGAAATATTGTAATAACAAAAACAATTTGAAATTATGAAGTTGTGTATAAGCACCAGATTATTTAACATTTACAGTGCAAGACTTAAAATTGGTTTATTTACAGAAATCAATATCAACAAGAGAGACTATTCTACTAATTATCAATAACTATGAGCTTCCTAACATGTTTAGAATATAACCTCCTAACTTCAAACATGAAGGCACCTGGCTTTACCTCTGGAAAAGAAACCTGTTGCTCAGAATTTGTATAAAACCCCAAGTATCTGAGGATTAAGCAGCCTACTAACCCCACAACTGGGCAGCCAGTTACCCCTGGAGCAGCAGTGCTGTCGTGCACCACAGGATATTGGAGTTTGGATTCTTAATGTAGACTCTGCTCTTCACACCATAACTAAGTGCAAAAGCAAATCACCACATTAAGTAAAGGTTGGATGAACTGTATTCTTATTTGAAATTACAATCTGAGAGCAAGTACCTTAGAAGTAGCCAGACCCGAAGCCTGCCTTGTTTTTAAAAATAACTGTTACATCTGTAACAGTTCTCTTTCACACGTAGGTGAAAGAAAATCACCTACTAAGTATTGTTCTCAAATCACCAAATTAGTTCAGCAAGGTTGAAACACAGCACAGAAGCCTGGAACAGTGATTAGGCCCAAAATTTCATTAGAAACAATTTATGTATGTTTGGTCTAAAGAATTTACATTGTGTTAAAAAATAATACTCTGATTGTGCAATAAATAAAGCTATTTCCCCCTCTGCTTCCCAGAACCACTGTTGCCAGGCTTCAAACTATGCAAGACACAGTTACTTTCAAAAGCTGGATGATTGATGTACATCAAGGAGCTGAAGTCAGCAGCACTTCAGTCACTTAACTAACTGGGCCAGCCACTCTTCAGTCCAAGGTCAAAGTAATAGAAGCATTCTGAGGAGAGATGCTAAAAACCTCATGCTAAAGCAGGGAGTTGATGTAGTACTAGAAACAGCACACTAGTACCAGATTCCTAGCACCACACAGCTGTAGGGTTTTTTGCTAAATATTGGTTTACTCTGCAAGTTGATTCCAAGAACACTGACTGACCATTCATCATCTGAATAACCCCTAAAATGGCAGCATTCTCAAATTGACAGTGTTTGTTTTTCAAGTATCTCAACACCAGCTCTTGAGTCAGACATGCAAACAGTTAATATTTCCCTGTGTCTAGCTCCTGTAAAGTAAAAACTCACAGAACTGAAGCCTGTATCTCACTTGATATTTCTTCACTGTTTTATGGAGGATAATGTAAACAGTACTTCTAAACTTAGAAATACAATTCTAAAGGGATGTTGAAATAAGAACATAAACAACAGTAAACAAAATGTTCACGGTGCAGGGCATGTTGGAGCCAAGTGGATCCACCAAGTAGATCACATGCCACCACATTTATATAGTTTTAGGACAAACCTTACTAAGAAAGCAGAAAGCAATGCTACTACAGGAAACGGTACCCTTATACAAAGAAGTAAGTTATTGCATATTTATCACATTTATTTGCAACTCACATTAAGGCTAGGTTTACTAGAATGAATGACATATGTATAAGCTTCACTTTGGGTTGCTTAATGAAGCAACCAATGTCTCATACTGAACCAACCTTTCACTAAGAAGAAAAAAATTACACAGTAAACAGAGGGCAGCCAGCACGTCCTATTCATAGAACATGCTTCCATTGTTCTAAAGATTTCTTGCCTGGGACAGGACTTCCCAAACAGATGCTCCAAGTTCACTGTTTCATCAACATCCCCATTATTTCACAGAGCACTAAATTATCTATTACTAATTTATCTGAAAAGTCAACTTATTTATAAAAGGATTTCCACAGCCTGTTATTTAATTATGCCTTAGGAGAGTCCTAGTAGCTCCACAGGCAGTAGCAGCCTCAGGATATGATACAAACTTCTGCCTCACCATGAGTAAAGGCACTTTTGCTGGGAAATCAACTAAAATAGCACAAAGAAGTAACTAAAGATTAGTATTCACCTGAAGCTGAATAATGTAACCTCCTCCAGCATAATCCTACCCTCTCAATTACTCTTCTTTGTCATTGTATGGCCTTTGGATACGTTTAAGAAAAAACAAAAGAAAAGTGAGTCAAAGCTATTTGAGCTATTTCACAATTTGGTCTTGAAAAACAAGGCCCTCAGAACCCTTGTCCTCCAGAAGGAGGAAATGCTGTAGTCCATTTCTCCTGTTGACTGATACAGAAGTTGAACACTCCCATGGCCAAAATTATTACAGCACTAGAGTTCCAAATCACCCGGTGCCAGGCAGGTGAATAACCCAGGAGAAAGTTCTAAAGCTATTTCTGAAGAAAACACTAGGTAGGGTATATGAAGTAGGGTGGTTGAAGGAAGACCAGGATTTTGGTTTTGGATGACATATATGAGTTGCATAAAAACTCAGTGCATGTAGATACACTACAAGGGTGTAGTTCATTCAACCTATCAAGTTATCAATTACCTCTATTCTAGAGAAAAGTCCATTTTTAAATCTGGGACATGCTTGCTATTACAAGCTGCTGTGACAAATTATTCCAGTGCATTTCTCTCCACTGCAACGCAGATGCTCAAAACCCACTGACTTGCAGGTGATGTAATACTCATCACCCTCATCACAAAAATCTTACAGGTTTTTTGTTCCTCCTCTCCATCCCCACCCCATCTTTCATGTTTTTCCTAAGAAAGCACTGTAGCTGAAAATAACTGAAGCTAGATCATTTAAATGCTAACTGCAAGTGCAATTCAATACTACTTGATATATACAGAGCAGATACACTACACAAGAGATCTGAAGACAACAGCACAGAATACAATACTGAACACCCTTGGAATAGTTATTGGAAGCCTGATTAAGCTGTTCAGTGGCTTATTTACATTCAGTATAAATTCTACATAAGTTACCTCTCACAGAAAAGTTTAAGCTTCTCTTTTTTTCACAAGCAGCTGCTTTGTAACTGCTTATGCAGCTGTGGGCAGTGCACATGAGCTAAGTTAGACACTTAGAAGGGCTGAATTTTACCCAGTTTGAGTGTCATTATTGAAGACCAAGGAAGAGTAGGTACAAAAAGTCAACATGCTATAGATTTGACTCAAGTACTAGTGATTGCCCGCCAACAAAAACTATCAGTGTGAAAGAGGGAAGGTATCTGTGGCAAACAATCAGTATAGAGAAAGGATGACAGGCTGAGACTAGGTTTGAAATGTGCAACTTGGTTTCAAAATCACTAGGACAGAGGTGTCCTCTGAGTATTAGTTCATTGCCACTGCATAATATTGCAATGTTCTACAAAATAATGACAAACAAGTCCAATAATTTACATCAGAACAGTTAAAAGGTTAGCAAGCTGGTATACTCCAACAGTTAAAAAAAAAGTCAATGACATTCTACAAAAAACACAGCAAGTTACAATAAAAAAAAATTTAAAACCACAAAAAAATAAAACACAAGTAAAAAGAATGCCCTCTAATGCACAGCTAGGAACAAGTGAACTGAACATTGGAAAGGTACTTTTGTGGACAAAGGCTAGACTGCATTTAAAGTGCAACACTTGACTATGCCACTCCCATACTGCAAAGAGAACAAACCCTTCCAAACCAGCCGTCAGTCCCTGCATTGCATTTAAAAACAAACAAACAAAACAAAATAAAAAACTCCTGAGAAAGAGTAAGGCTGGATAAGAAACCCCCTCAATTGCAACAGGCAAGTCTGATTCTTACTTCTAATAAGTTTGCTGTCAGAGGTCAAAACTTTTCATTATGGCATCATGGTCAAACTTGAAACTCAAGAAAGCTCTTGATGAAAAAACAAATTTGTAATGGCCATTGCATGCCATAGAATGTCCATCTACGTGTTCTGGCAGTGCGTCTTCGCTGGAGCAACACATCTCATAGGCTGCTTCTGCTTAAGGAGAAAAAGGTATGAAACAAATTTTAAATGGGCAGTTGTCAATAAAAGTATCAACAGCAACACAAAGCCATACCTCAAACATACATTCAATTAATATTTATAACAAAACCTGTATGTTTGGTCATAAACAGAAGACAGTAACTCACAACAGCCATATTTACAAGTTGTCTATAGAGGCTAGAATAAATCTTCAAATTCACTGCAATCTGGAAATACTTTCAATAGCCACATATATATATATATATATATATATATATATATATATNTTTTTTTTTTTTTTTTTTTTACACATATAATACTGTTTAATTTCTCAATAGCCATTTCTTAACAAGGAGAAAAGAATGGCACTGTTTCCTGAGCAGTAAGTAAAGAACTGTGTGCATTCTGCTGCAGTTCATTACTAGCAGGACAGAAAGCCTTAAAACAATGCTCAGTTACCAGCACTATGTCTACTCAGATGCTGTTTTTCTAAAGTAGCTTTTAGTTACTTTTTCACTCAGCCACCTTGTGATCAGTCAGTCTTAATAATTAAAGAGAAGTATTGCAAGACCAACATGAAATGGTACCTTTTTCATTAAAAAATAAGCAAAACCTCAGACTACCTTGAAAAAACATGACTTTATAAGATTTGGAAGGCTGGCATGAGGAATGGTTGAGGAAAAACCCTCAATCATCATTATTCGGGTGCCTTCAGCCTGTAGCACAGGACAGTGTATGAAAATTCTGACTGCACTTGCCTGTTTCAAAGTTATCTTGAAGTCTTCTTGGATTAAGCCTTTTTTCACATTTCTGGTGAAGAGAATGACCATACATTACACATTTTTGATGAAGAAATGGCATTATATTTAAGCATCATCTAACAGGCATGCTGGTTTGCTTTGACACACTTAATGGCTGAATTATTTTACCCCTAACTCAGCATTAATTCTGTCACATTACTTGATGTAGCAAACATGCTTTAAATCCACAAGTCTTTCAGAATCATGCAACTTTTTAACAGTCACTAAAACATTTGTAACATGCAGACTTTTAGGGGAAAATTTTGAGTACTTTCTAACTGTTTTAGGATGGAAGGGTCTTGCATATGATGGTGTGGAATCAACGTTGTGCAGGCATAAATCCACTCTTCAATAAGCTTGTCCCAAAAGAGGCAAGGGGAATGTATTTGCAAACATGCTGCTACTGCCAATTAAATTAACATGCTTTAGAGACACCAACTCAAAACTCTCCAGGGAGGAGTTGTTTTAGCCCCAAGTATTGCTGCTTTAAGTACACCGATACAAAAAAAAATATGGCTCCTTGCACTCTCTGCAAATTAAGTTTCCTGGCCTTCAAATTACATTAGAAAATTGTCACTGGACACAGAATATTCAAACTTCAAAAGACTGACCATCATGAAAACACAAGTGGAACAGAAAAAACAAATATTTAGAAAAGTTCATGAAAAGCCTATAAAGTAACTGTAGAGCATTAAGAGTTATCTCCATGAAGAATTTAAAGATTACCATTACAGTTTTTTCCTATCCATCTAAATTTCTGGGCAGTCAATTCATTCCTCTACACTCAGACTCAAATATAACTAACCATTTCTTGCTGCAGGATTTTAGGACAAGTTTATGGTTTCTGTATGTTTACTTGAATAAGAGAAAGAAGGCAATAACCCAAGAATGGGAAGAATCTCATTTAAAGCCTGTAAATAAGAAAAACTAAAGCCTGGACAAGCCAGCTGAGCTGCATAGAGAACTGGGGGCTCACTGCTGCACAAAAGCCAACAAAATATACTGAAGAGCCATAAAAAACAGGGAATCAAAAGCACATTCTACTATAAAAGACAGCACAGCCCACTGAGTCAACTCCCACTGAGAACTGGACAAACACAATTAGTAACTGCAAGGGAATGTAAAACACTAAGAGTGTGGCACTGGAATTTACTGTAATCAGCTCCACTGTATGATTGAAAAGCTATGTGAGATTCTGGCATCCAAGCCAAGTCTGTGTCTCAACATTTTTTGCTGGAGAGAAGGGAAATAATACATATTTACATCACTACTTTCTAAGCATTGCATAACAAATCCCTAGGCTTACAGAAAGATATCACACATGAATAAATAAGATGTGTACTACACTGAGTTGTTACTACACACCACAGAAGACTTTTACATGACAGGAACCTCGAAAGCTGCAGTACTGAAAGCTACTGTGTACTGAAACAGCTGACAAATTTTCAACAGCTCAAACTACTTACTTCTAAAATGCAAACTTTGAAATTTAGTATGCTTGTTTTATAGATGTATATACATACAAGGTAAGAAATGTTATATATCAACAAACATGTATCAAATACTCTGACCAAACATACTCTTGATAGACAGGCATTCTACTCTCTTTCAGTGGGACATTGTCCTGGACATTTGTTAAGCATTACTGGAACCCATTACTGACACAGACACTGCATGTTTCTTACCAAGGTATTGTTTTGCTTAACTGGTTGACTGTGCAGTCCATTTGTTCGCTTCTTTTGGCTGGAAGTGTCTTGATTTTGCTTTCTGCCATTGTTCTTCAGGTTCTGGCTCTGCTGTTAAGTCCAAAATAAGTAGAGGGAAGAGTTTAAATGGCAGAATTGGACATCATTGGATTAACATTTCCTACTTAGTAACTAAAACTTCCCTCCAAGTAACTTCAAAATATGTTAACAGTTTCTTTTGCAGAAAAACTGAAGCCCACTGAAATTAACCAGACATACACTCAAACTACAGGGCCATCAACTGTTACTCTTTCTCTATTGCACTGAAAAGAACAGAATTATTACACAATTAATTCAGTTAAGTGAATTTCCATGCACTGATGCAGATATACTAGAGATAACAGCAAAATGGCATGTACTAATTACTATCTGTACATGAAACAACATAATTGCTACCTGATACCACCACTTCTACTGTTAGATAAATCAAAGAATTCCCAAGAGTATTCCCCTACTCCCATGTTTCTACTTTTACATTCTGTGGTGATGAAATTCACTGGTTTTGTCCTAGAGAGGAAACCCTCATGAACAAAGACATCTGTTTTAAATAGTCCAGATGCATATGCCTGCCTAAGAAACAACCTACCTTTATTTTCAAAACTTCAGACACCTCAGGATGATTAGATGGCTTCTGTGGCTGTTTTGGCTTCACCAAGTGCTCTCCTGAAACGCCATCTGTAAGCACCTGCTGACTACAGCGAAGTTTGGATCTAGTACAAGAAAAGAAAGAAGTTTACAACACAACTTCAAATCTACTGAGAACAGAAGACAAATGTGAAAAAAAATTTCTGCTTTTTGATAACAATCTGGAAGACAATCTTAAGTAACCTAATACGGAAAAAACTAATAATGCTCACTGCCATCTGCATTCTCCACAGACAAGAGGCCAAGTCCACATTAACATTGGTCCTGCTGTTCTCAGCCTTGGTGTTGCCCTGGCTCAAATTACTGAAGTCTTCTCATAGGGACTACAGGTTTCAACGTTTGCTCTACCACTTTTCACTCAGCTGAATCTAAAGCCAGCAGCATATATTCCCCTACTGATTCCCACAGATTTTATCTATCACTTCTTAGACTACTTAGAGTCCTACTTTTCCTGTGCTGCAGTGCCAAAAATACTGAACTTGAAGCACTGGAAGTTATCTACTTGCTTTAGCTCCTATTTGTTTGGGTTTTGTTTGTTGGTTTGGTTTGGTTTTGTTGTTTTTTTGTTGGTTTTTTTTTTTTTNTTTTTTTTTTTGATTCCCATAAACAAGACTGAGGAAACAATCTCAGTTCTTACACCTGTGTTTTTTTTTTTTAATCAAGTTCTCACCTTACTTACTAGTCTATGATATACATATATACATCTATGCTTATTTTTCTGTTATTTACCTATTACTGAAACACAAATCCTTGGAGAAAGAGAAAAGGACAAGCAGTATTGTATATAATTTTCATTGTATAATATTGTCATATTTGTATGACCAGTGTTTTGTAAGAAAGAATATAGAGATGTTAAACTGACCTGGTTCTTACCTAGCTTTTTCCAAGTTGGACTTAGAGGGTGCACTCCCTGCAGATGAAAAACCATTGTCACTGTCTGAGGAGTCTCCATTCCTTCGGGAAATCCATTCCCTCAATGGCCTGTGAGCAAGGAGTAGTACAACAAGATCTACTTACCAAAACAACTCTAAAGAACTTATAGTTGTCTGAAAGACCCTGGCCTAGCATTTGCCTCATCTCAAACATACCTGATGAAGGGAATTGCCATAAAAAATTTGTTAGGTGCCAAACCCAGCTTGGACTTTGGGGTCATGTCATTTCTGTGGCATGGTAATTTGTCGATGGAAAACCACTCAATATTCTAGAAAAACAAGAAATAAAATCACAATATCCTCTACTGTAGCCTTAGTAGAATGTTGCAAATGTGTATCAGCCACAATTATTTCCCTTAATTAAAAAATTACAATGGAAGACTTAAATTAACAGGCCACAACAGCCTTTTTCACAAAAGGTTAATTAACTTCTGACTGCCACTACAGTAGCAGATGGTACAGCAGAAACTCATTGCATGATATCACACCTAAAATATGAAAGGTATTAATCAACAAGTAAACTCTGAATAAGAGTTTTCATAAAGAAACCAACCAAACCACTTCACACAGAATGCCATAAATAAATGTACAGACTTTGAATAACTTCCAAAAACTTTTTACTTAAAGTGTTATCAATACTGGACCACCAATACCCATTCAAAATGTAAGAAGGGTGTTTAGTTTGACAGTAAGTTTCAAGTTTATTATAAAAGAAAAAAAAAACATGGGGATAGGACAGGATTTGTGTTCCTGCTTATATGTTACAGTTTTATAGTTAAAACTTATATACGTATACTTAGCAGAATGGGGAAACAAAATCAGGAATTCTGACCACAGACAGTGTAGGAGAACCTAGATGAGATTTGCTATCTACTCTGAAAGCCCCAGGTCCACACAAGATGCAAATTATGGAAATACGGTCCAAACTGAACAAGTTTTCAATATAGTTCTACAGGGAGTACAAAATCAGGTTGCCTGGTGGCATTAGATCAGATGAAGACAAAGCTTCAAAACTCTGTCATTGCAAGAATGCTTCAACATTCCCACATATATGGTCACTGTTCTACAAAGTACCATATTTACTGTTTATTTTAAAAAACCCTCAAATTTCATCTTATGTCATATTTTAAAAAAAACCAGGTCTCTAATGCAAGAAATTAAGTTCTGTCCTGTCAAATACTTTCATTATTTAGAAAGCAAGGTGCCCTATTTAGTGACACAATCTGCATGGAAATATAGCTATTTTAAACTGAATTGCCATAAAGGAAAAAAGTATTCAAACTTCAAAGATTACAGATACCACTGACAAAGTCTCCAACAAGCCTTTGTCTTTCCCTTTCACAATACCTTTTAAAAGCCAAATGGTACACAATACATCTGAAATAGTTCCTTTTTTCTGTCCCCTTCTCAGCTTCCTCCATAAAATATACTATTTTTTAAATCTGACAGTATTAGCCATGAAAGAAAGAAAACAATCGTTAGTTTGTCCTTTTTATATGTAGGGCTTTTGCATGTCCCCAACTAATAATTACAACTTGAAAATATATAGTTACATTTGCATCTGTAACTAGGAATAATATGAAATTATTAATATATACACCACCTACAAGAGGAGGATAATTGTATTTTAGCACCATGCTCTATTGTCTTTTCATGATGAATAGAGATGTCAGTCAGATGGTCAAGTATCAGACTTGCAGGCAAGCTCTAAGAAGTCAACACAAAAACCTACAGTGAAGAGATGCCACTGGTACCCAGCATTTAAGGTGTTCATTGTGTTTACTGGGTTCATTATTTTACACACTTCTGACTTTAAAAATCAACCTCTGCAAAGTTGCTATAGATTCGGACAAGGCAGTACATACCCGAATTTCCCTTCTAGTTTTGGGGTTGAATTTTGTGTTCTTTGGAACTCCAGGAATGATATACAGCCGTGCTAACTGATCATTGATTCGCAGCTCAATGTATTCCTCTTTGCAGATATAATCTTTTATGTCAAACCCAGTTTCTTCAAACACCTGAGAAGTATTTAGAAGAAGTTAGTGAGTGTGTATTCAGAGTTATCCTTTCACAACCTGCTACCACAAACCAAGGAATGATGATTTTTCAGATATATCCATGAAAGCTGCTAAGAAAAACAAGCCTTTACACACAGAGGTTTGCTCATAAATAGAAAAACTATCTACATGCTTTAGATTTCTCTGAAACTGTAAACCTGTTATACAAGTTGAAACAATTCTATTACACTTTCATGTAGCAATTTATTAATATGGATGGGGTTAGTCCTCATCAACTTCTGAGGTACTACTGAACTCTGTAGGCACTGCCAAGTGAAGACCTCTTCAATCAGATTTTACACAGATGAAGCTTATGATTTCAGATCTGTGCTGACTCCAGTGAAAGAAGTTGAAAGATTTATTTCAGATATAAAATAAATTCTCAGTCTATCTACAATGACAATCTAACTTGATGGAAAAAAGATTATAATAGTGCTGTTCACTAGTGAAATCTAAATAGATTTTTCAAATTAACAACACCATCAAAAGATTTTTTTTCCCCACTATAAAACTGTGTCCCCTTTAATGCTTTGGCTGGCATAACTTGAAGAGGAAGATACACTTTATGTAACTCCTTTTTGAAGTAGCTGTCTGGTTTATCCTTGATAGGTATACTTAAAACAAACAAACAAAAAAAAAAAACAAATCCTGTGATTTCCCAGATACTGATTCAGTCCAATTGAAGAACACTAAATGCACCATACTACTTTCCCTCAACTTAATTTTCTCTCTCAAAAATTCTGAAAGTATTATGTTGAATGAACACTGAATTTGTACCAGTAATATTCTTTTACAGGCCATTTTGAATATGCAGCTTCACTATATATCTAGGTCTCCAGGAGCAATAAACACCACAGACTATTTCATTTTTCAGATTGTACTTGCAAATATACACTGATTCTTGTTCCTGAACATAACTGAAAAATAGAAAAGTTAGGTTCTTCACAACTTTTACATAAAATTCTACAACCTCTAACTCAGCTCTTTAACCTCTTTACACAGACCAGTGTACACAGGCTGAATTCCCATTTCTCCGCATTTTTAAAGTTATGGTGACCCTTGAAATTAACACACCAAAAGTCATAAATTATGTAAGATTTCCCAAGCACCACATGTTTAAATGTAAATTCACAGTTCAGCAGAGAACTTTAAAAATAGTACTCACTTCATTTAGCACATTAATGCAAAAGAATGTGAAACATAAACCTTTTTTTTGTTTTATTTTAATATATAACCTCAACCTTGATACCATTTTGGAACCCAGAAAGGCACCAGAAGATGACTGCAAGAACAGATCATTTATTCACATGGTTTCAATATCAGGATTACCTAGTAAAGTGCCTTTTCACCCAACACATATATCCTGATTTCAGATAAATTTCACTTCTTTACCTTAAAGGAGTTGATATAACTTACCTCTCTAGCAGCACAGTCGTGAGGTGCCTCTTCTTTATTTACTTTCCCTTTTGGAAATCCCCAACCAGATTTTGCTAAATAGCCCTGAACCAAAAGAACCTACAAAATACAAGGAAATGCAACTGTCAAACATGCAGATGTTCTAACCAATTTCATTAAATGTCTTCACTCCACCATCCCCTTGTTCTCCAAAAGAATATGGTAGCCTCAAGGAAGGAAATCATTAGGTTTGCTGCATTCTAGCAAAAACACTGAAATATTTTACATAATCGTGTAACTCAGAATAAAAAATAAAATCTGAGAAGGAAAGCATGCAGAAGTGTGTTTACTGACTCACATTATATTTCTGTACACAGCCACCAATATCAAGTAATTGTCAGATCTCTGTGAATCTGACAGTGAATGTAAATTTCTCCAGAAGAAAAATGTAAACAACCAAGAATTACTTCTGCCAGCATATATCATCCCTCCCTCTAGACAGTCCTTCACAACTATTTCCATACTTACATTTTCAAGTGTCTCATCAAGGATAATTGCACCATAGGTCGGCACTCCCATTTTGTATTCTTTCCACTCATCTAAAACCTTTTGTACATCTTCACCTTGAGGCAGTAAAAAGGGGCAGTGATTGAAGAGTATAGCAGCTTGTTAAGGAAGATAAACTTAAGCTGCCAGTTCCAAGGCACATACTGAATACAAAAGATATTCACTCCAAATTTAGACCAAACACTTCCTCCCCTAAGTTCCTTTCAAGATAGATTCTCTTGAAAATAAATAAATATTATGAATAATCCACTAGGAAGCACAGAGTACATCAAGTAATTTGCCAATTCCTAAAAACCAAAACCCAAAACCAACCAAACACAAAAGACACCAAAAAAAAAAAAAAAAAAAAAAAAAAAAAAAAAAAAAAAAACAAAAAAAAAAAAAAAAAAAAAAAGCCAACAAAACAGTAAAAAACCATACCAAGAAAAAAGATGGCACAAGGCTGCTTGTTTGAAGGAAGGTAATTTTGGAAAAAAGTAACCCCATAACAGTTATTTTGAATATGTGTTATTTGCAAACACATTTTCTTAATTTTGAAGTGAGCAAGACAGAAAAAAATGTCAATTCCTCGTGCTTGAAATAAATGGAAATAAATTTTTGCCACAATCATTTGTTAAGATTATGGCACAGAATCCTATCTTCAGTATTTATTACACTAAAAAAATACTGAATGACATATAGTCACAGAAATCTAAATTCTAATACAATTTATCATGCAGAGAAAATATAAACCTCTATAACTCTAAATTTTTGAGAGAAAATTTGCAAGTCCCTAATCAAAGTATTAATATTATATTTTTCATATATTTTAATACCAGTAAAAAATACTCCACAGCAGAATACTTAAAAATACACTGCAGCAGAACAAATATTTGTGGCAAATATAGGCTAGAAAGGGAAATATGTAATGAGCATATAACATCTATTACACTGCATTTTTTCTGCACTGCCTACAATTAATAGGAGAACTTTGTTAATCTGAAAATACATTTATAATTAAAAACGCATATAAAATAACAGCAGAACATCAACCAACAGGACACAACCATATTTTTACAGTTTACTGTTAAAAGCTGTAGTGTTTCAAAGTAAATGTAAAGTATGAAACTAACAGTTAAGTATGTTGTGTAGTGAAACCATGGATAATATTATCCTCAAAGTTAGAAGCAATATTACAATCTTGCATCAAGAACACAGCGACAAGGTTAAAACTAAAAAGCTTGCTGAATGAAAGCCACAAAGTTTTCTCTAGCAATGACTAGATAGTACACATTCTAGCAGCCCTTGCAAGCAACAAAAAAAGCAAAGGCCAAGCATTTGAATTCAGTAAAAATGCAGTTTCTACCCTACAGAAATTTCCAACAAATATATACCACTGCCTATGGCAGAACACATACCACCCTCAACTACTTTAATATTTATCTCACTAGTTACTTAAAAATTAATTAATTAAACTGTGGAGTTCAGTTTGAAGAGCGCCAACAGCTCAGCCTTGAAACCAACCTAGCATGCAAACTACAACCATGAGAAAAAATCCTCAAACATCAGAAATGAACCATTTTCCATAATTCTTTAGCAGTCCAAGAAACATCTCTTTTGTGGGTGCCACAAAATCATGGAAGCAGTGAACTCAGTAACATCACATACCTAGCAATGCTAACTTTTAATCATTAATACCTGAACTGATAATACCATACTATGAAATACCTACCGTTAACAATATTCAGTTCACACTTCACCGCTGAGACAGAAAACAAGCAGAGTAATAAAAAGGATATCAGCTTTAGCAAAGTCTCTTATCCCACACTGAGGTAATCCTGGTGTGTTTTGCATGTAGAAATCCAAATAAAACCAATGGGCAAGTTCAATCTGAAAACACACTCTGATTGCATTGTCTCTCTCTTCACTTGGAATGTGCAAAATAAATCGGCTGCCAGGAAAGAAAAAGAGTAAGATAAGCCAAATCTACTGACTTAAATACAGCTAACAATAAAACATTGCAACAGTACAATTCTTGATCCATTAGCACACACAAACAGACCACCAGATCCTCCTCATGTTCCACAAGGACAGTAAAAGGTTTTCACAGAGTAAAATACAACTTTTAAAGTCAAAAAGGAAAATGGATTGTTATGACCTTTCAGAAACATCAATTACAATACACTAAGTAAATTAACTGTTGTGAAAACAGGGAGTGTGAAGACAACTTACTTAAATGGCTGTGTTACAAAAATGAAAGCATTTTTACAATACCATTACAGAACATCTGCAAACTCTGATATGATATTTCAGTGCTACTTTATCAGGACACAAGTTGAATATATATAGTTACATATTTTCATTTAAAACCACAGTAAAGTAATAATCTACATAGATTTTAAAATTCAATATGATCCTACAAATTTCCTCAGTCTGAAACTGAACATGGACAATCAGGTTTAGCCCAGATACTGGCACACAAATAAGAGTCACTGAGATAAAAGTTTTAGCAGCACGGTGTGATAGCCCATTTTAGTTAAGCAGAAGAAGCTTTATTTATTTATGTATTTGTATCAAAAGCAGAACTTCCTTTTTAGAAACATAAGGATATACACCCCACTGAACTTAAATCATTTGATGGCGATCTTTGACCATCAGCTCCTGAGTGCAACCAGCTAAAATTCCAAAAGTGCGTAGTATCATTGCTCAAAGGATACTCTCTTTACCTAAAATCTGACAAGTATGAATTGTCACAGGATCCCAGAACTGGTTGCCTCTCTAAGGCACTCTAGCCAAAGACAGAGGCAGGTCACCGGTGCAGGCACACACCTGATACTCCCCAGGCTTCCAAACACATTCACAGGTATTGGCACAGGTGTCATTTTCCACCCCACAGCCCTGCCCAGACCCCAGACCCTCACCCCCATCACACAGGTCGCTGCCCCACCAGACGGTCCAGTCTGAAGTTTCCTAGTGAGAACATGTGCACAAACAGATCTGGGGAAGACACCCACCCCTCCCACCCAGCGTCTGGGTGGTGACCCACAGTCCTGCTGCAGCTGCCTGTGCTCTGCCCCTCACTGCCCTCACTCACACCACTTCCCCCACACAAGCTGGTTTCCAGGACACTCATCATTGCCAACCCAGACCCCGGGAGCTGAGACCCCTCCCGGGAGTGGCTGCGCTGAGATCGGCTCCCTCACTCCAGCAGCTGACACCTTGCCCAGTCACACACAGCTCCCATCAGCAGCTGGCACTTCATCCTTGGAGCACACAGACACAGGGGGTACAGAGCGGAACTATCCAGACAAAAATAAATATTTACTAAGAAGATGTAAGATAGGACAGTCTGTGACACTTGGGCAGAAGGGGCAGACAGAGAAGTGCACTAACTTGCCCAGTTTTACAGCCAGCCTGTTTTATACCCCCTCTGCCTACCCTTGCTTTGTCCCTCCCTGCTTCTCCTTTTGTGTGGCACTCCCCTCAACCCCAAGTGTGGGATCTCCCCAGGTCTAAAGCCCTACCAAATACAAAGGCCAGGCTGATATTCCTGGGAGTCATGCCTGTGGTTTCTTGGCAGTTGGTCAGTTAGTGCAAGTAAAAGGTTTGTTTCTTGTCATTGTATCTAATTCTGATTTCTTAGCATCTACATATTTTTTTATTCTGATTCCTCTAATTTTTTCCCGTTTTCCAGGAGTAGGTCCATACTCAGCTAAACTTACTGGAATGAACATTCCTATACCCCCTCATTTGGCCCCCTCATTGGCCAAACTTGGTTTTCACCACTGCCTTCCTTACCATTACTCTGCTGGTTTTGTAGCCTTGTATACTTTATTTGTGGAATCCTCGCTTTCTTATCATTCTTCTGTTTGTTTTGTAGCCTTGTATGTTTTTTTTATTTATTATACTTTTATTTCTCATCCTCTTATCCAATTTTCACACAGAAAAATGGCCTTGGCCAGATAGTATTGAAGACCTCATCAGGCCTGAGAGGTCTCCTGAGAGGGAGTCTGTGCTTACCTCATGAATTTCAGCATGGCCAAGTGCCAGGTGCTCTGCCTTGGCTGGGACAATCCCAAGCACAACATAAACACAGTCTGATCAGAGAATGGATGGAGAGCAGCAGTGGGGAGGAGGCTTTGGGGTATTGGTGGAAGAGAATCTTGACATGAGCTGACACTGTGAGCTCCCAGTCCACTCTTGTGATGGAACAAAGTGTGCACAGCAGGTTAAGGGAGGTGATTCTCACCCTTTATTCTGTTCTGGTGGACCTCACCTGAAGTGTTGTGTCCAGCTGTAGGAGCTCCAACAAAAGATGATGGGGACCTGCCGGAGCAAGTCTTCTGTGAGGCCTTGCAGGACCTCAGGGGCTGCAAGAAAGCTGGAGAGGGGCTTTTTACAATTTCATAGTGACAGGACAAGGGGGAATGGCTTTAAAGAGAAAAAAGGCAGGTTTAGATAATAGGAAAATAATTTTTCACTGTAAGGGTCATGAGGCACTGGCACACACTGCCCAGAGAAGTTGTGGATTGCCTGTCTCTAGAAGTGCTCAGGAGCAATCTGGTCTAGAAGGTGTCCCTGCTTTTGGCAGAGGGGGTGGGATGAGATGATCTTTAAGGTCCCTTCTACCCAAAGCACTCTGTGATTCTCCCTTGCATAAATAACCTTATTCACACCAACATTTTACCACTTGCCAATTTTCTATTGGCACCACCACTCCCAATTTCTTTTGAAGGTCCTATTATGACTGCTGAAAAGATCCCTTATCTATGAAGCTGCCGTAACTAAAAGATAAAAACTTAAAAGTCTACGTTACATCTAGTCGATGATATCTGCTTGCCCCAGCACTGCAGCTGAACATAAATCTAAAGATAAAATATGCAGCAGTATCAAAGAGGAGTAAGAACATGCCAGGGATTAGACTTAGAGAACAAGAGAAAAGCCAACTGCAATGATACTTATTAATCAAAAAGTTAACTTCTAAGTTACTTGGAGCGACTGAAGTGCTAACAACAGGCATCTCTGGGTTGCTCTACATGGAGCTGCCAGGTGCTGGCAGTGATGAGGTAACGCTGGACACACTGTAGGACACAGCTGGAGGCAGCAGCTGAGATGGTGGAACCTACGGGGAAGTGTATTTAAGGACAAAAATACCAGACAGGCAGAGGAAGTGAAAAAACCAGCATGAAACAGGAGTGCAAACACCAAAGTTGGAGAAGAAGAAGGAAGAGATGTCCATCCTACAGCCTGTGGAGGGTCACATGCTGAAGCAGATGGATATGTCCTGAAGGAGCCTCAGCCCTAGAAGTGATCCCACACTGGAGCAGGGGCAAAACATAAGAGGGAAGGAGCCCCAGGGAGGATTTTGTGTTACAGACTGACCACAACCCTCATTCCCTATCCCTTGAGCTGCTTGCAGGGGAGGAGGCAGAGGAGAGTAGAGAATGAAAGGATGAAGCCGACATGAAGTTTCTCTGGGAAAAACAAGGATGCAGAAAAAGCTCTTTTTCAAATATTTTTTGAAGAGGAGCTGGGTGAGCATCTGGCTATTTGAGCAAGGTGAACCAACCACAGTCTTGGAGTCAAAATATGGGGTAACAGCCCTTGTTTACAAGACAAAAGGAGTTTCAAGAAGCTGCTAAACCCACATTATGTCTCTGCACATCCACTTCTTTACTCGGTTAAACAGCTCCATAGCACAAGGTAGCATGACGAAAACTGACATGGATACCTGTAAGTTGTTATTTAACAATACCCAGTAACTGAGTAGGAAAAATCACCTGTCACTTTCTACCAAAATTCCCACTAGTATCATATGTAGATTGAAGAATGTAGGAAATTACAGATATTTTTATAACACATTTATAATATGAACACAATCATAATACAAAACACCATTTTTAAGATGGAAGATGACAGTATCTCAAAGAAACGTAGTTAGACACTGGGAGTGATCCTATTACAATGTAAGATTCAAATACCCATGTGCTCTTCTATCATAAGTGACACTAACAGGCTGTATCAGTTTCACTGCAATTCCTCTCTGGATTTTCTGAAGAACTCTTAAATCTTGTGTCATATGTGTCATATAGGGAACCGAAAGGCGAGTTCCTCTCTCTGCACGGAGGCCAAAGGAGACACAACAGAAACAGAAACATGCTTCAGAGGCCAGATTTAAGGAACTGAAAATTTACATGCCTATCACAAATGCTTGACTCTTGCACTGGACAAGTGGAAAACAATACTGAGCAGGACAGTTCTACCTTCCTGTGGTATTCTCACTTCTAAACATTTTCACTCATTTGAAAACTGTAACGTAAGTGGGGTATCTTCCCTCTTCACTAACCTTTCCCTCTTTTACAAAAATACCTAAGGAATCCCTTGGAGGTGGTAAAATAGAAGGATTATTTCATGCCAAATATCACACACAGTTTGTGTCATCACATGCGAAAATTGCATAAGAAGATGGCAAATAAAAGTATAACAAATAAATAAAGCATACAAGGCTACAAAGCCATGAGAAGAATTATAAGAAGGTGAGGAATCCACGAATAAAGTATACAAGGCTACAAACCCAACAGAGGAATTATAAGGAAGGCAGTGGTGAAAACCAAACTTGGCCACTGGTTGATGAGGGGGTATAGGAATGTTCATTCCAGTAAGCAAAGCCCCTGGAAGAAGAAAAGGATTTCACTCTGGAAGACCCGACAAGCAGCTTCAGGCCGAAGGGTGTCCTCCCAGCAGAGGTAACTCACGGCAGGGTCGCCCCGCCGCCCTTCCAAAGAGCAGCGGCACCGCACCAGCGCTCCCGGCTCTTCCTTCACCTGCGCAAACACCGCCGACGCAGCTCTACCTTTTCCGGCCCGAGCGCCGCAGGAAAGCCCCGCAGGAAACAACGTTCCTGCCCTGCCTCCCGCACTCGGCCGCCCCGCGCAGCCCCGCACCCGCTCCAGAGGGTGCCGCGGGCAGCCTTCCCGCCCTTCCCGCACCGATTCCACCGGGAGGGCGGAGCCTCGGGCTCGGGGGCAGCGCGGCGAGCCCCGTCCTTCCGCTTCCCGGCCGCCGCGGGAGCTGCCCGGCCGCCGCCCCTCGGTGCGGGCGGCCTCGCACCCGCTCCGCGTCCCGAGCATCCCGCGGCGCCCCGCGCAGGGGCGGGCGCCTTTCCCGCCCTCCCGCGGCAGCGGCAGCGCAGCCCCGGGGCCGCCCCCGCCCCACGGCCGTACCTGCATAGGTCGTCCAGGACGCTGCTGGGGATCTCGGCCCGTTTGGTCTCCATGGGGAAGCGCGGCTCATCCCGACGCGGCGGAGGCCGGGGCGCAGGGAAGCGGCGGGGGCGGGGCCGCGCTGCGGAGCGGCGGCGGAGCGGCGGCTCCCGGGGCCAATCGGCGCCCGCCGCTTGCGGAGCGGCGGCCAATGGGGCGGGGCGCGGGGCGGGACCTTCGCGCTCAGGTGATCGCGGGAGGCCAATGGGCGGCGCGGGGCGGGGCCGCGAGCGAGCGCGCTGATAACGCGGCGCGCCGGGACGCGGACGGGACGCGGAGCAGCGGGACCGGGCCGAGCCGAGCCGAGCCGAGCCCGGCCCAGCCCAGCCCAGCCCAGCCCAGCCCGGCCCAGCCCGGCCCAGCCCGGCCCGGCCCAGCCCAGCCCAGCCCGGTGAGGCACAGCTGCCGTGCTGTGTCCAGCTCTGGGCTCCTCAGCACGGAGACAGGGAGCCACAGGAGGGGGTCCAGCAGGAGCCATGAGGATGAGGACGCTGTGGGGCATCTCTGCTTTGTGAGGAAAGGCAGCGGGAGCTGCGCCGGTTTAGTCTGGAGAAGACTGAGCTCTCATTGATGCGTGTAAATTCCTCCAGTGCGGGTGCCGGGGGGTGGTGCCCGGCGGCAGGACGAGGAGCAGTGGCCACAAAGTGAAACACGGGAAGTTCCGCCGCGGTGTGAAGAAGAAGGTCACGGTGAGGAGTGGCGGAGCTCTGGGACCGCTGCCGGGGGCGGGCGCGGGTCTCTCTCCCCCACGGAGCCATTCCAACCCACCGGACGCGTTCCTGCGCCTCCTGCTCCAGGGCACCGCGCCCTGGTGCGGGGGGCTGGACGGGATCATCTCCGAAAGGGAATGATTCTGTGATCCTGCGAAACAAACCCGGCTCCGGAGGAGCCTCCCTGCCGGCAGAGGGTATCGCTGCTCTCTCCGCAGCAGCTGCTGCTGCCATTGCAGCCTTTGATTTTAAGTAGCAGCGAGTTTTTGATGCATTTCTCCTCTTCTTCTTCTTCCCCTTCCTTTCCTCGCCAAACTGCCTGAGCTCCTTCTGGCTGCTCTTTCCCTTAGGGGATTGGGGAGAGAATCAGCGAAATGAGAAAACTCGTTGGTTAAGATAAAGACTAAGTTGTCTAGTAAGTTATTACTATTGCCTATTAAACTATAGGGAATGCAAGAGCTACACAAATAAGAAAGCAAAACAATAAATTAATTCACTGCTTCCCGTGACCAGGCAGGTGTTCAGCCATCTCTAGAATGGGGATTCATCACGTTTAACAGTGACTTGGGGAGACAAATGCCATCACTCTGAATGTCCCCCCTTTTGTTCTCCCCACAGCTATCCTGATAATGATGCTATATGGTATGGAATATGATCAGCACAAATCCAAAACAAGGCCCCATACCAGCTAATTAGCTCTGCCCTAGTCAAAACTAGAACACAGAAACACCAGTCCAGCATTTGAAGACACAAAAAGTATGTATATTCACAGTTGTTATTGACTGTTAGGCACAGAAAGTGAGAGATGGATTCTTTGCCCCCTTTCCAAGGATATAACAGAGAACAGGAGGCTCCATACTAGCTCCAGAAGTATTAGGAAAGGGCATTCAACCAGGTGTAGAAAAAACAATACTGTAAGATGACTTTGGAGTCCAGTCTTAGTAGGAGCAGCTGTAGAAGTATTTACATACATTGGTGCCGCACTCATGAGCAAACTCCACTAAGTGGTATTTGACAGTGACTTTTGCTCCACTCTTTTTATTGCTGTGATGCTTGGAGGTGATGGGTGGATCACTTTAACACTGACTAACAGAAGTACTTTGTTAGGAAAAGTAAAGTCCACTAACAGTGCTATTGATATGTCTAGACATAGGAACAGCTGGAAGGATCTGAGTTCAAATGGATCAATCCCATTCCTCAGGAATCCAAAAAGCTCAGTTTTTACCAGAAAGAGCAGATGTAGGAGGTTCTTTGAAAGTTGTATCATCTGGATTATTTCAGGTATCAGGATGGTCTTGGTGCTATTGTTTTTCCCTGTTTGCTACATTCACAAGCTGCACCCCATGTCCCGGTCCCCATCTCCCATGTGAATTTGGTACCAGGAGCTCCTACAATTGATAAAGAGGAAAAAAGGTGGCTTAGAAAATGCACTTTGACATCTCATGCTAGCCATGGTACTTTTAGCCCTGTCATGGTCTCTGAAAAATACCCAGCCTGATACAATGAAGAAGCAAACATGTCAAATATTACCTAAGTTACAAATCATTCTTGGATAATACAGATCCTTAACATATGAGAAATGTACTACCTGAAGAACATAATGGAAGTTTGCAGACAGTGTTCCAGGACAGGGGAGAGAGGAGAGACGTGTTTGAACATTTCTGCTTGCTTCATTTTGGAGACATTGCTGGAAGACTAGGTTAGCCAGAACATCAACATAAGAAAAAATATGTTCACAAGTAGGATTTGGAGTTGTGTATCATTGTAGTTTCTTTTTCTTGCTGTGTGTTTTCTAATTTATTTGGTAAATTAACATGCACTCCTTTTACCTGTTAGCTCACACGAAGTAAGTTGAGTTAAAGCTGACACATTCAGGTTATATTTCCCCAAAGATAAATCCTTCAGGGAAACTTGCATGCTTTGGTGGCAAAGTTGGAAGTAGCTTTTGTCAAGCTTTAAGGGCAATTAAGAGAGCAGGAAGGCCAGGTATAACACAGAGAAGCTCATCCAGTACCCACAACACCTCACAGCTCCAAGCAATATGCAGAATCACCCAGTGATGTAGTCCAACTGGTTTTAAATTACTGCTTATCAGTCAGACTCGGCAATCCTAAAGATAGCGATAAGATATTTGGAAAATAATGTTGTTGTCTGTTTGAACTGCGCAAAGAGAGAAGATGGCAGAAAACAAAATGGGCCAGCCATTTGCGCATTCAGAAAGGGATCTCAGAAAAGGAGTTGGATTGCACAGGACAAGCAAGAGCTGAAAGTGGATAAAGTTTTGCTTGGAGAATCTCACCAAAGTGAGAATTGCATTGGATAGGAAGCACCATCCAAATCCAGAACTCAATAAACATTTATTTGCCGTTTATGTGAATTAGAATAAAGACCAAGGCAGAAACTTGAGAGTCTGCAATCAAGATTGCAGACTTCAGCTTGCCTAAGTAATCAGGCATTAATTCCACTCAGCCTTTCAATAAACAGATTCTATACTAAAATCTCCAACAAAATATGGAGGTGGGAGGTAAGTGGACTGAAAAGTAATATTTTCTGTAAGCAGTATGAGCTCAGCACCCTCAGTTGCTACAAGTTGGTATTTTGGGTCAAATTTATATGCAAGGAGACAATGCAAGCACTACTCCCCTTCTTTGCTCCATGTGTTACATGGTAAAAGGTGAGTGAATAGCTGGCACAGACCATCAGGGGGACAGTGATATACTACAGAACTAGTCCCATATAACCCATGTGAAGAAACATGAATACTTAAAATACGTTGAAGCAAGTTTTAGGTAAAGCAAATCGCCCACACAAAAGTTAACGAAACTTTAGGCTTAAATCTGTGTTCATCTCAGTTTCCTGATTGCAAAGGAAAAAGAACCATAAAGACCTGAAAATAATTTGGAAGGGTTTTTATTAAGTTGAAAGCACCATAGAAAGGAACACGCTTGTGGTGAAGTACAAGACATTATGATATCTAATAAGATGCACTCATTAGAAACTTGGATGAATAATGGTACCTAAACCTTGGAGGGGTTCTGAGAACCTTGCAGAGGAGATAGGAAGCACACATAAAAAGGTAAGCCAGCAATTTTATTGAAAATTCACAATTCAAAGTGATTTTTTGTTTCTTTATGCAAAATTTCACTTAATTGAAAACAATATAACTAGTCTAACTGCATTTGATTAATTGTGATTACAATCTATTCTTTGATGATAGAAACCTTAAGCAAGATTATTCAAATGCCACTTTAATAGGTGAAGAGAATTCCTTTGAATTTCCCTTCCCTTCCCTCCTCTCCCCTTGCAGAGGAGATAGGAAGCACACATAAAAAGGTAAGCCAGCAATCATTTGGTTACTTTATGTATAGAGAGCTGTGGTGAGCCTGTTCAGAAGATTCTATACTGGGCTTTTCCTGATATTACAGTGCTTTCATGATCAGATCAAGTAATTTGTAGTCCAAGACCTTGCAGGTAATCATTAATTTAATGGCAATAACATGTGCATTGTTTTACATACATGACATGGCAAGCTACAGGTCAAGACAGCAGGGCTCATTTAGGCAGCACTGATCTCAAACAGGCTTAACCAGATGGTCCAAGTAACACAACATCCCTCGGGATGTGATCATCCTTTCAAACTCCACGTCCAGCTCTGGGGCCCCAGTATCAGCAGGACAAGGACCTGCTGGAGTACAAAGATGATTAGGGGGCTGGAGCACCTTTCCTGGGGAGACAGGCTGAGAGAGATGGGGTTGTTCAGGCTGGAGGAGAGAAGGTTCCAGGGAAAGCTTATAGCACCTTCTTGTACCTAAAGGGAGCCTACAAGAAAGATGGGGAAAGACACTGCAAAGGTGTGTAATGACGGGACAAGGAGGAATGGTTTTAAACAAAGACAGTGGTTTTAGATTAGCTATTGTGAAAAAACTTGTAACTGTGAGAATGGTAGGGTCCTGGCAGAGGTTGCTCACAGAAGTTGTGGCTGACCCCTCCCTGAAGTGTTCAAGGCCAGGTTGGACAGGGTTCTGAACAACCTTGGCTAGTGGGAGGTGTCCCTGCCCGTGGCAGGTGGGTCAGAATGAGATGAGCTTTAGGGTCCCTTCCAACCCAAACCATTCTGTGAGTCCATGAAATACACACCTGTGCTAAAGCCATGAGCTGACCTTTAACTCTGGGTTGATTATAACAGTGGAGTACTGCTTCAGCTCAGGATGAAAAGAGTTGAAGAGTGTTGAAGGCAGTTAAAGAAGTAAGAGAGCTTGTCTAGTGACTAGGCCAGTCTGATCCTAAAATCAGATTAAATAGCATAAAACATCAAAGAGAAAAAGTAAAGATAAGGATTTGTATTAACTGGGAAAAAAAAA